AAGAAATTAGACGTATGAACATTATATATCTTTTCATCCAATTGTTTTGTGATGTTCTTCCAATTCTTGTAAATCCGATTTCTAATAAAAAATGAATTTCTGCATTAAAAAACAACCAACAAGCAACGCCTGTAAAAATCTCCAACCCTTCACTAACAAAATTTCCTTCCTGTATCCTCACACTGTCTAGAAATTAAAACCTTTTTGCTTATAATGCTTTCCCTACATATTACCACTGCAGTGTTTACAAGAACAGAAGGCTCTTGTGCAACTCAGTTGTCTACGCAGCTCTGACCTGTCTGCCACCCTCAATTCCCAGTTCAACAAGGCTTACACAATATATCATGTTTCTTCCCTGAAAAAACCAAACAAACAACAACAACAACAACAACAACAACAACAACAACAACAAAAAAAAAAAAAAAAGAGGGTATTACACATCTGGACTATAGGGCTGCAGGTATGAATACCTGCATAACTGCAATTCCTGCAATTTATTCCATAAACTGATTTTTCAGTTTATGTCCTGTTTAAGTTACTGAGAATCTGTTCCTAAACAGGAGTGGATTTTGGCTTGAGTCCACAGTTCTTAATAAATTTAAATTTAATGAAAAGATTTTACCTGTGGTAATCTTCTGATTGAACCAGATTAAAATACATCTTCAATTACATCTTGCATGCTGCACAAGTACTTTTTGTGCTTTCTAAAAAATTTACTACAAAGTCTTTACTCCACATGAGATAATCCCTTCTCAGCATGCTTCAACAAAGAAGTATCTAAATGTTTTTGAAGCACACCTTAAGAACTTAGATATATGAGTTTATAAATAAATGATACATTTAACATTATTGACTTTTAAAGTTACCTATTCAGCAACCATATCTCAATGATTATCATTGTAAAACAGCAGTACACTGAAAGAAGAATTTCTCTGTGAAATGCTGAGTGATAGTTACTTTCAGCTTGCATGCTTGAGTAAAAAGACTTTTAAGATTGCACAGTTAGTCCATCTGTTTATCCTTCTCCTGCCTCAAGTTTTGCAATGCTTTGATCCACTTCCCATGCATTGGAAAGATGGACAGAAATCACCACAGACGTCTCTTCATCTCTCAAAAATGTGTGGAGGAAAGAGACTACTTCCTTCCTAATGCCCATCCTCTTTGCCCTCAGAAACTTACTGGAGGACCTGGAAAGACTACACTGAACCAAAACTCAACTACAGTAGATCGAATTGACCTAGCAGAGAAAATACATACTTTTCTATCTGTTGCCACAGGCACAGGCAGCTTGTGGAGGCAACTCAGAGCTCGCACTCAGTCTCTCCTTGCATGGAAAGGTAGAAATGGCTCTTCCCCTGATGGAGGCTTCTAAGGCAGAGCTCTGCATGCAGGAGCATTTCTGTACTCTTTCAAGGAAACAGATGCCAACTCCTTGGCGCTGCAACACTATGTGCTGAGAAGCTTTAACAGGTGTGCAAACATCACTGTCTTAGATCAACTTGTTCAAAAAAAGCAGAAAAAATATATTGCAACGACACTCCCTTCACTATGATATTCAGGGAAGTGGGGAGGTGCTACAAAATATGGACAGTAGAAGCATTTATGGTAATCTCCTTAGAAAGAAATTCAGCCATTTATAAATAGTATTTGTACAACAAAGATTGGCCTACACATTTTGCTGAAGAGGCATTCCTTTTTAGATGTTATATCAGAATTAATGTAGTTCAGATAGAAAACAGATTTATGTTGTAGATTTAGGATTGCAATGTCTACTAGAGTTTATCCTCTCTCTATCCCCCACAGATAATCATATAATAATTGTGATAAGTTTCAGGACTACTGGCACAAGAGTGGCAATTACTCTGAAACACTTACTGATTCTTAAGATCTTAGAGAAAAAAGAATTAAGTTGGATTTCCAGAATTTGAGTAATGGCTGGTTCAGCACAGCCACCATATTGTAATTCCATGCTTAATTTTAGCAGCATCTAAATTTAAAACTAAAATTGTCAGGGCTCACTTTCTACCCCCAAGGCCATCTGGCATGGTCTGCACACATCATATCTACTAAACTCTCTGATGTTTTAAACTGGGTAGCAAAACAAAACCACTCATTGGGAACAGACCTGAGCTCACTCAATTCATAACTGTGCACAGGAATTTTTCTGCAGATTTTAATTAACTTTGATCAAAGAATGCCAGGAACTGGATTAATACATCAATAGCATTGTTCAAGTCCAGTGCCCTAGTCTATGCTGTAGTGACTGTTAGTTAATATGGCAGTAATATACCTCTCTCTGATTTAAATTCATGGCACTAGGCATTCACTCAATATCACATCTGCAAGTGGAAATATATTTGGAAAGATAAGCTGTGCTTTTCATTACACTTAAAACATAACAGATTCAAGCTGGACATGAGGAAGTATTACTTTTCAGAAAGGGTGGTCAGGCACTGGAATGGACTGCCAAGGGAGGTGGTGGAGTCACCAACCCTGGGGGTGTTCAAGGAAAGGCTGGATGTTGTGCTGAGAGACATGGTTTAGTGGGAGCTATTGGTAATAGGTGAATGGTTGGACTGGATGATCTTTCAGGTCTTTTCCAACCCTGGTGATTCTATGATTCTATGGTAACATTGTCTAGATGCCTGATCATAGTCTTAATCCAGTGGTAAGTAGTACATTTTTCCACTCAAGTTACACTAGTGCCGAGCTAGTGCTGAACTTCGTACATAAGAGAATAAAAGCAAAACAGAGCAAAATTTCCATCGTGCTTCAATCTATAGTCACTTCGTAATCTATAATTTTTTCACGCTAATAATTGAGAATTGACTATGAGAAAGCCTTTCAGTTTCTAATGCTACCATTTGTCAATGTTAAAATCTCAGTAAACATAAAAAGCTGAAATTTAAAAGCAAAACTGAAAATTAAATTTAAATTTTTTAATATAATAAAAATTTATTTACAATTAATAAAAATATTGCTCAGCTTTTCTAAAAAAATGTTTTCAAGGGAGTTGGCTGTCCTATTACCCCTCCTTGCAAACATCAGGTCTGTAAACAACAATGGAATTGCAAACAGCATCCCTAACATTTAAAATAATTTCTCTCAAGATACCACTTTGCAGTAGGCAATCTTTATGGTAGGATCAAATCACCAACTATAAGCACTTTAACTGTGCCTATGCTTTAGATAGGCAGATAAGCATTCTTTAGAATTAAGTGCCCAAGGCTCCACTGCTGTCTTTCAAGACAGTTACCTGCCTTAAGACAGAGGTGGAACCTTTCTAATTAAATTCAGACATCGAAGTTAGGTAAAAAGACTCCTCACCTAAGAGCTTTTAAAGGCACCTACCTACTTTCCTTAGCATACATTGATTTTAGGCTGCGGGGTGACCTCATTGCAGCCTATCAATACCTGAAGGGAACCTACACCCACGAGGGGAGTAAACTCTTCAAAAGGGCTGACAACAGCAGGACTAGGGGAAATGGATCGAAGTTGAAGGAGGGAAGATTTAGGTTGGATGTTAGGGGGAAGTTCTATACAAGGAGAGTGGTTAGGCCCTGGAACGGGCTGCCCAGGGAGGTTGTGGATGCCCCGTCCTTGGATGTGTTTAAGGCCAGGTTGGACAGGGTCCTGGGCAACCTGATCTGAATGTGTGTGTTTGGTGGCCCTGCTAGGCAGGGGGGTTGGAACTACATGATCCTTGAGGTCCCTTCCAACCCGGGTGATTCTGTGTGATTCTGTGATTTTATTCTAGGACACTTTTTAGACAAAATTTAGAACGTTTGATTACATTGATCTATATGCATTTTGTACATTGCCTGATTTTTAATATTTTTTTCTTACATTTCTCAAAAAAAATCATAATATTGCATGATGTTGCCTCAAAACTACAGTTGAAAACAACTGAGATTTTTATCACAGAAGCCTGGAATACTTGTTATTACTTCCCCCTAAGATTAAAATGTCTTCCTTCAACAGTTTTTTAGTAACAGGAAGCATTATCTGTGCAAATAAGAAAGTGATTTCAGAAGAAATTTAAAGAACAAGTCAAAAAATAGACCCATATTCTCTTTTCACTTGTGTTTAAGCATATATGTAAGACAGGGCTAGAGGTGTGGGGAAAAAAAAAAAAAAAGGAGGTGGATGGGCCAGAAAATTCTTTATGTTCACCCCACTGAGAGCATCCTCTGTCAAACAACGAAGTTACAGAGCATCACACTGGAGGTTACTGTTAACGGAATATATGAGTGATATGTATGAATGATTCATGGAAGCTTTATTAACAGATAAGAAAATCCTATGGCAAGTTTTCTACAACTCAGTGCCTACAGTTAGGCTCCTCAGCTTAGAACAAAGCTCTTCAGTTGATCTGGCAAGGTATTTAAATACGTATGTAGCAATACGTTCTGCATACACTCAGGCTATGTAATAAGGCCAGAATCAAGTATGGGCTTCAATCTTTTCCTCAGTCTGAGATAGATTTCTTTGTGTTATGCCAGATCTAACTCTCTGGCCTCAAAAATACTGGAACAAGGAACTGTAAATTTTCAAACCCATCAAAGCAAGATGAAAGTCCATTTCCTATTGTAGTTTTCTACAATAATCAGTTCTTTTCAGTGAGGACTGTAGAAATTGCGCACAGTAATTTTCAAAATACACTTAAAAATCCTAATTTTTGGACGCCCATTTTCAAATGTTAGTTTGTGTTTTTATCTAATATACGGGTAGATGTGCATGACCATAAGAACAGAAATAAAAATGACACCACAAATGTTACTGAATGAATATCTGCTCAGAATATTAGATTAGTGCTGCAGACAACAAACTGATTCAGTTTAATATTTGTTAACTCATAGATTCAAAATGTTAAACAAAGTGTGAAAACTGTTAGCATTACAGATAACACAACCATAGACTTAGAAAATCACAAAGTTGCAATACTGTGCATGAAATAACTACTTTCTTTAAGAAAATAATTTATTTGCCATAGTCACATATCAGTTACTGTACATATATTTTCTCGCAATACTCTGGCTGTCTATGAATACTGGATCCACAGATGCCACTTTTGCAGCTATAAAGGAGTGAATACAATGTAAAACTGCTGTCAGATCCTGAAATTCAAGTTCCTGAAAGAGAAAGCAAGAGAGAAAAAAAAAAAGAAGAAATTCAAATTCAGGTTAATAAACATTTGATATAAACACATAAATGACTTATTAGTCAACAACAATGAACTTAGATAGAAAATTTTAATATTTATAAGGAACTGTAAATTTAAATGTGCTAAGAATTAAAGATGTCTATACACAGCTCATTCACAGGCATTGCTGTATGTCAGTTTAGATTTCATCCTTTGTTGCTTTACTGTTTACAATTCCCTCAGTTTAGACAATCAAAATATTCAACTCACAAGAATGTTCAGACATCACCGCATGTTTTAAAATATTTGAATTTAAAGATGTGGTTTCAGGTCCCATTCAGGGGAGGGTGAGGAGGACACAGAGTTTGGCAGCCTCAAAGGACAGTCAAAGAAGCAAACTGTGAGGCCAGAGGCAAATGGAAGCAAAGATAAAGTCACACCACAGTTTGCACATATAAATATGGGTGTTTGAAATTCACGTGCCCTAATTCAGCAAGAAAGGCAGAATTACTCCTAATTAGTTCTCAAATTTCTTTGACTGTATTATTAAGTATTTCATAAATGACATTTCTGTTTCCCAGTCTACCCAGAGAAAAATGAAGTGATATTCTGACGCAATGACAAAAAAACACAGAATAAAAAGCATATTCAATTTACACAATAGTAATATTTACAGACTCTGCAACCAGACATTTTGTATGGTTTTCGGTTTGAGGAGAAGGTTTCAACAGGACATTTATTGAACGTATTGGTTATACAACAGCATATCAGGAAATATCCTGTTTATTTTAAAATGAAAATTTAACCACTTCTGCTTTTCATATCACAGTACTTTATGGTATTTTCTAAACAAAAATTGCCTCAGAATATTGGGTCTTTATTCCTGTTCAGGAAAAGCTAATTTTCACACGCTTTTCTGTTGAAATCTGTATTTACTAGGTAGGAATGGCATTACTTCTAATGAATGCTTAATTGTAATCAGAAATTCTGTTTTCCATTTTATCCAGATGCATAGTGTTCACTGAAAGATTTTTGGTGTTAGAGATTTATTTTTCCATCACAGATTTTATTTTTCCAATATCTCTCATTATCCCACTTCCAATTCGCTTGTGATGAAGCTCTTTCCAGATATATGTACCTTTAACACATACTTTTGTGGTTTTTGTTGTTGTTGTTATTTTATTTTATTTTCCTTTTCAACAGCCTTATTTTACTGGCTTTTTAGTTTGAAATAAGTTGATTCCTTCAGAAGCTGAAGATAACAAGACAGGTATCCTTGCAAACAGCTTGGTATATGAACATACTGTGCAGTAAGCAACAACTACAGTGACAGATATTTGTATTACATTTAATAAATATTTTATATCTCTCTGCTATGTGATAGTAATCATACTGTTTTCTGTGGCAGTAAGTATTACCAGAATGAGAGGTCACTGCATACATCTCAGGCACATAATGACTAACCTAGGTGCTGATACACAATAAGTAACACTGCGATTTCATTACTGAAAAGCAACCTGTAAGCATTAGGTGAGATTCATGAGCCATAACAACGTTCATGGAAAATCTGTGAATTAGTTCAGCCATATTTCTTTGCTTCGCTTCTGCTTGGTAAGTTCCTGTACAATGCTTTGTTTTGAAAAAAAAAGTTGTATCAGGCTCAGTAGAAATAAAATCAATATGGATTCGTTAAGTAGACACAACTAATAGGTGAGATACCGGTCACAGTATTTCCATCCAATTTCCCTCTGAAACTAATTCTCACAAGAATTTTTACAGTATAAATACTTCGCCAACAGTCTGAATGAAATGAACTCATTGGAGATTTTGAATTATTTTAATACATATATATTTGATTAAAATGGTCAAACCCAGAGGTTCATTGTTGATTTTTCTATATTGATGAGACTGCAAATAGGGCAATGCAAATGTTACATTCTTACTGTACCTCACATACTGCAGAATAAAACCAAGTCAATATTTGGCTTTCCAATGCTTCATTCTGAAAATAGTTAGGAATTCTAGTGGGATTGTGATTGGAGACATGGAAAATAAAAAGGCAAAAGAAGGACAAGGTGGTATCAGACTTTCAGTGTTGGAGAATAACAGAATCACAGAATTGCTCAGGTTGGAAAAGACCTTAAAGATCATGAAGTCCAACCACAACCTGACCATACTACCTGAACTCAACCACCCTCTGCTAAATCATGTCCCTGAGCACCACATCCAAACGATTTTTGAACACATCCAGAGATGGTGACTCAACCACCTCGCTGAGGAGCCTATTCCAGTGCTTAACAACCCTTTCTGTAAAGAAGTTTTTCCTGACATCCAACCTAAACATCCCCTGACGCAACTTAAGGCCATTTCCCCTCATCCTGTCACCTGTCACCAGTGATGATCCACGGAAGCGAAACAATCACAGCCTCCCTCTGCAATAAATATTAATGTCTATGCATTGAGGGCTTCAGTTCGTGATGAAGAGGAGACTATGAGGATTTTTTCTAACACTTGTGCATGATTCCTTTAAAACCTCAGGCATATACAGCTTATTGTCTCAGGTATTTTATTTTCCAATAAGCAAATTTATTATTCTCAGACAAATTTAACTTCTGTTACCATCTACTTTCTCCAGCATAAGATGACAATAAGCAATATTAATGTACAAAAAGTGTAATGGGATCATATTCAACATGCTCCCAGGATATGCTCTTTCTAGCATGTTAAGTAGTTTTACAAGTACCTTTGTTTTCTACTAAACATCCAAGGAAGCTCTCAGAAAGTCCTCACACATTGTAACTTTCAGACAGAGGAAGCTTTGGCAGCAAACTGTCTTCCTCATAGTGATTATAGCGAACACACAGAACAAGAGAACAATGCTTTCAGACCCTAAGTCCTGCAAAGAATATGTAAGCAGAGATATTTATATGCATATAACACGTCTTGGGTAATTCATCATCTGATAAATTGATACTTTTTACTACAGTGCTGAGCTTTCTGAATATGTCATTCCATGCATGTGAAGTGGAATACAAACTGCTATAGCACTTCATGCTACTTCCAGTCTCTAGACAGCCAGCACAAGTTTACCAAAATGTATTCTGAAACATGTTGCAACCATCATATATCTCACTGCAAAAAAGTTCGTAAACTCCTGTTCCTTTAAATGCTTCACTTCATAACATGTCGGAGCCAATATAACTGATGGACAGAATGTGCTATATTTTATTATCATTCGTATCTAGTTAAATAAGGAGGAAAAAAAATAACATTAAGGGATGTTACTCTCAACCTTCTGCTTTTGTGTACTTCCAAGTCAACAGCTTAAGAAATAATTACCCTAAAAGAAGAAAAATCTCTTGAGAAATTATATCAAACCAGGCATTTAGGTAACCAGTAATTGGCATTCAGTTGCTGAAGTATTCATTTGGGCCTCGTATTCAAAATTAGATCTTGTTGTGGAATAAAAATGAAGTGTAAATTTTCATTAAAATCCTTTGAAGAACTTAAGCACATGTAATCTTCATTTTGATTTTTGGGGGAGTAAAGAAGTGTTTTTTCCATTTTGATTGATATATATAAACATAAGTAAATAAGTATTTTATTGACAGTAGGTATATTATCTATTGTAAAATCAAAATAAAATTACTATAAACACTTTCATTAAGAAGTAGTTGCACTATTTAACTCTCATTGTTTAGGGTTTATAAAACTAAAACAATGTACATAAGTCCCAAAAAGATTTACACAACAAAGGTTTTAAAGATTTAAATATAGGTTTAAATCTCCTGAACTGCAATCTTTAAAAGCAACAAATTATAAAATATGGAAGTACTCACTTTAATCTTAGGTTTGCTTCAAAATAAAATGAAATTATTCAACAATTTAACCTCAGGTTCTGACTACTCATTCTAACATTTGACACTTTGACCAACTGCAGCCAAGGGTGCTCAGAGACTAGAGCCCTTCATAAAGCATTTCATTCCCATATTGCAGGTATATACATTTCCAAGATGCACATATTTATCAAGATAAGTGATCAGAGATACCTAACACATGTTGTAGGCAAGAACTTCAGGGTGTTCCAGCAATACTATTTTGCTAGAGTTTTTGGATAAGAAAAGAACAAATACAGAGATGTCTCATCACTAGGAGTTCACCCTTTTCAATGCTCCTACTGCAGAGTTCTCACTGTTTCTATGAGTTTAGAATACATCCTACAAGAATCACAGAATCACAGAATTGTAGGGGTTGGAAGGGACCTCCAGAGATCATCGAGTCCAACCCCCCTGCCAAAGCAGGTTCCCTATAGCAGGTCACACAGGGAGGCATCCAGGCAGGTCTGGAACATCTCCAGAGAAGGAGACTCCACCACCTCCCTGGGCAGCCTGTTCCAGTGCTCCGTCACCTCACGGTAAAGAAGTTCTTGCGCACATTTGTGCGGAACTTCCTATGCTGCAGTTTCTGGCCGTTTCCCCTTGTCCTGTCTCCACTCACCACTGAAAAGAGTCCGTCCTCACCATTCTGCCCCCCACACCTTAGATACTTATAGACCTGGATCAGGTCCCCTCTCAGTCTTCTTTTCTCAAGGCTGAACAGACCCAGTTCACTCAGCCTTTCCTCATAGGAGAGATGCTCCAGGCCCTTCACCATCTCTGTGGCCCTCCGCTGGACTCTTTCCAAGAGGAGCTTTCCCTCCTGTGTACTTTCCCTCCTGTGTTTTCCCTTTTCCAAGCTGGAGCTTTCCCTCCTGTGTACTTCAGAGGTGTCTAATCTACTGTGATTCATCTTTTGGATACTAATGATATGCTCTTATTTCTATATTACATAATTTATACATAGTTGAAATATACACATTACTGACAAAACTGTTTTGACTGGAGACAACACTTAGAATAGGAAATACCAACTTATTTCTATGAAAGAACACCAATTAAAATTCTTTCAAATAAATGAATTGATACATTATTTTTTACTTATTTTTATTTTTAAAAATAATATATTTCTGCTCATACTCAGCCAGGCAGACAACTAACTAAACATTTCATGTGCCCTGTATAACCTAACTGTACTGTTCTGCTTGCTTGATTCCTCTGTGATTACTGTTCGTACCTTAATCAAGATTGCCCGTTTCTAAGTATTCAGAAAAAATTTTACACATCTAATATTTCAATAACCAAGACTATTTTAGTTAATTATACGCATCCTAATAAGTAAAATACAACAAAGACACTAAAAGGAGGGCAGCAAGAAAGAAAATGAAAGATTGCATTAAACCTGTGTGAAGACAAGTCTGCAAAACTGCAAGATACTGAGAATATTAAACATGTGCACAGTGTACTGATCTGGATCGCTATGTGTGCAGAGACAGATTAAAAAATATATATGGTTTTGTTTTGCCCATCCACTTGTAACAAATGGATGTATTACATATCATAAAGACCTTAACAGGGCTGTTGCATTGCTACCACACATACACTTAGTTTTATTGATTATTTCTGAGAGCTACTGAATCACTATTTGAGCAAGACATGAGCCTGTATAACGTAAGAGGCAGATAATGTAGGTACTGACTCTTATTGTACCCCGTGTATTTCTTGACTTCTTAAAGGACATTCATGAGTATCCATGTTTATTAATGGTTGACAAGAGTACAACTACTGTATTCTTCAGCATACAACTTCATTCCTTCTGACTGAAATACTTATCATACTTTTTGGGAAAAACAAACAAAACAACGAAACAACACTGATAACGGTATCTAGGTTTTAGCTCTGGTTGTGTGGAAGTGAAAACAGAACAGGTAATTCTAACTTCAGTTCTAAATTTTAACAAGTATACCAGGGCTTGACTATCATATCATGGTTGAAAAGAACAAATGTACTAATATATCCCAGCTTGTTAAGACTGTTATAAAAACACACAGAATCACACAGTATGGCCAGGGTTGGAAGGGACCTCAAGGATCATGAATCTCCAACCCCCCTGCCACATGCAGGGCCACCAACCTCCACATTTAATACTAGACCAGGCTGCCCAGGGCCCCATCCAAGCTGGCTTTGAACACCTCCAGGGATGGGGCATCCACAACCTCTCTGGGCAGCCTGTTCCAGCACCTCACCATTCTCTCTGTAAAGAACTTCCCCCTGACATCCAACCTAAACCTCCCCTCCCTCAACTTAAAACCATTTCCCCTTGTCCTGCTGTTATTTACACTTTCAAAGAGTTGATTCTCCTCCTGTTTGTAGGCTCCCTTTAGGTACTGAAAGTTGCAATTAGGTCACTTCACAGCCCTCTTTTCTCCAGGCTGAACAAGCCCAGCTCCCTCAGCCTGTCTTCATAGGCAAGGTGCTCCAGCCCCCTGATCATCTTCGTGCCTCTCCTCTGGACCCTCTCTAACAGCTCTCTGTCATTCTTGTACTGGGGGCTCCAGACCTGGATGCAGTATTCCAGATGGGGTCTCACAAGAGCAGAGTAGAGGGGGACAATCATCTCCCTGTCCCTGCTGGCCGCCCCTCTTCTGATGGAGCCCAGGATATCATTTGCTTTTTGAGCTGCAAAAGCACACTGCTGGCTCATGTTAAGCTTTTCATCCATCAGGACCCCCAGGTCCTTCTCTGCAGGGTTGCTCTCAAGGACTGTTCCTTCCAGTCTGTATAAATGCCTGTGATTCCTCTGGCCAAAGTACAAAACTTTGCACTTTGCCGTGCAAACCTCATTAGGTTCACCCAGGTCCACCTTTCCAGCCTGTTGAGGTCCCTCTGAATGGCATCCCTTCCTTCTACCGTGTCAACTGCACCACTCAGCTTGGTGTTGTCAGCAAACTTGCTGAGGGTGCACTCGATTCCATCACTGATGTCATTGATAAAGATGTAAAACAGCACCGGATCCAAGACAGACCCCTGGGGGATGCCGCTCGTTACCGGCCTCCACCTGGACATAGAGCCATTAATCACCACCCTCTGTCTGCGGCCTTTCAACCAGTTTCTTATCCATTGAGTGATCCACCCATCAAATCCACATCCCTCCAATTTGGAGATAAGGATGTGGTGGGGGACCATGTCAAAGGCCTTGCTCAAGTCCAGGTAAATGACATCGGTCACCTTTCCCTTGTCCACCAATGCCATCACTCCATCATAAAAGGCCACCAGATTGGTCAAGCATGACCTTCCCCTGGTAAACACAAAGGAGTGTGAAGGCTTGTTCAGCTGTAAGGTTTTATTTGGTCTCCTTTTTGCAAATGTCATTTACACAAACAAGATAAAATGGTGCTCTTACCAATATAAGAACTAGATCCATTATGCCAAAATGAAATGCCAGATGAATTACAACTCTATGTATTGTCCTTAAGTCTTTTAATAGTGTTCTACAGGGATAAGAATGAATCAAATTGATTTTCTCTGCCAGTTTCAGTGATTCCAAATGCCACTGTCTACCATCAAATCTGGAACACTTTCAAATGTTCCACTGGCAGACAAAAAACATCTGAAAAGTTTTATGGAGATGTTTGTCTAAATGCAGCCAACTAAAGTCACCCCTTCCAGCACATGTAAACTAAATTCCAGCAGCAGACTGCCCAAAACTGTCACCCAGTCAAAGTCTTAACTCATGTCCATCATCATCTTGCAAATGTTTTTCAAGCTCTCAAGATATTCAGTAGTAAATTGCCAGATTTCAGCAACAAAAGACCCATGTTAATAAAATACAGAAGTGTGTGAGTGCTAGATCACGGCTGTTTGATATTAGAGATCAATGTTGCTATAAATAGAGAGCTCTGTTTGCACTATTTAATTTCCTTTATCTCTCAGCAGTACTAATATGGAATAAATTTTCTCTGAGGTGAAAATAGTAAATCTAAAGAAAGAAACACACTTGCTGATCTGTCCACAATCACTCTCCTGCAACTCTCCTGTTTAAACAGCATAGCATTTGCAGCAAAACTGTACTGCAGTCTAATTGCAAAAGTTAGTAAGTGTGAAGGAAGTGAAGAAAGAGTACTGTATGTAGCCAGACAAATATGCACAGTTCTTAAGTTACATGCATAACAGTTGGAATGGATAAGAGACAAGCAACATACAGTAGAATGTTCTATATGTCTGTATCAAGCTTTATTTCACATGTAGTGGAAATGAAACTTTATTATTTGGTGACTTAAATTCCAAGTTACTTAAATTCTATCCAACAGATGGTCACGTATATAGTGATGATAGCAGTTCCTTTATGTCTCCAAGGAGAACCATCAGAAATGAAGTGGAAATGACCTGCTACTATAGTCATATTATTATAGTGTTGTATCTTTTATGATGTTATTGTATTTGCTACTGCAGTGCCAACAGAAAACTGAGGTTCAGTTTGCTGGTGAAAAACTGAATAATTTATAAATATAGATGTACAAAGAAATACATGATATTTGTTGCTGCTTTACGATGAACAAGGAAGTTTAGAGATTATCTCCTTATAGTTTTTTTTTTTTTTTTTTTTAACATTTTAAAGAATAATTAAAGGTATTATCTATGCTACCTTTGTAATACAGTCACTGAAGCAAATTTTCACTTTATAAGTCACTTTAACCTGTGTAACTCTGCGTAAAAGTGAGAATTTTCAAATACATTTATATGTGCTTTTTGTTTTCATTGAGCTTTGTCTACCAAATCTCAGTTGGAAGCTGAACTCACTCTTAGCTTCGCTTCTTTGTTATATCACATCAAAGTTATCCTCATTCCTTTCAGAACTGCATGACAGAATAATTCTCAATTCATTTATTTATGTTTTTTTAAATTATTCACCACTGTCTTTATTCATCAGCGATCACTGCCTTGGTAATTCATTTCTCCAACTTTCATCCTACCCCTTCAGTTATGTGTACAACTGTAAGAAGCCCAGGTTCACAGAGAGAATCTGAGGACAGATTGTGGCATTACAGTTGTATCTCCAGATGATGATTCAAAGTACAATCCTGAATTAGAAACTGATGAACTTCAGTTGGGAATCTGAATTCTAAGCTTCATAACTAGATCTGATAATCTCTAGAAGATAAAATACATCAGTATCTCATCCTCAGTACTGAAAGCATGTTGCCACAGCTTAATGCCAGATCTTGCAAAGCACTGAGAACTCTTGAGTCGCAGTACTGAATGCACTAGAATAAGTTTCAAGAATTACTTGTCCTCTTGTGAGATTATTTCTTTTTTATTAAGCTAATAAATACTACACAGCACTTTATTTTATCTGTAAATCTTAAGCTTGTATTTGCTTGAAGTTGTAAGTCTGCAATTTGTATTTAGTAGTTAAACAGATTTTTTTTTTGCTTCATCCTCTTTAAAAAGTTTTTACATATTATATTATTATGCCATCAAAACACAGCTCAGTAACAGATTTGTACAAATAGTGTAATAAATAAAATACCTCAATTCTTTTCATTGCGGTGTTTCTACAGAGCAGGATAAAAATATATAAACTATGATTTGCAGTTCACTAAATGCAAGCACAGCAGTAAATGGAATTGATTGTTCCATTTCATTTTTCACTAAGCTGAGAAAGATTATGTCACTTACCTTTGTTTCTATTTGTTTGGTGTCTGGATTCTGAAAAAGCAGCTTTACTTTTGTTTTCCCATCATCTGAAGAGCCTTTCAGCTGAGAGAATTTAAACCTCCACAGAACGTTCTGAAGAGAAAGAAATTTGATTAAGGACTTGGTACAGTTACCTACAACTACAGATAAATGATTAATGGTTATGTATTAAGCTAAAGCATTGGGTCAGTAAATACAAGCTGGCCGCAGAGCAAACAAAATTTACAGCTTTGCATCATGTCTGAGAATAAAAGGCATGATAACAATACACACTAATTAAAAAAAAAGGAAATTCTCTGAAATTTGAATGATTCCATTTCCTATGTGATATAATTTCAAAATCCATTACAAAAGATTTATTTCTAGAAGTATTCATTAGGATATTTGTATCAGTTTCATTATAAACACAATTTCACACCATATCTTGATCTGTCATCTTTCATCTGGCTCATCTGCACAATGTAGATAAGTGTCTTACACAGACATTGGGATGCTCAATATACCTTTGTCAAAAAGCATTTTTGAAGTGGTTTGAAATCCAAAGATAAATATGCTAAATATGCTATAAATATGCTATATTTATATATTAAAAAAAATCTTGGTCTTGCAAATTATAAAAGATATGTTCTAAATTACACAGTTGTTTCTAAAATATACAGGAACTCTAGAATTCTTGCAAGTTTTTGCAGCACTTACTATTGCTGGCAAATTACAGATTGACAGAAATTTTTAATTGTTATGGGGATATTTTTCAAAAGCAAATGCTAGGAAACCATGCTTTTGATACCAATATCATCGTCTGCATTTGAATGTTTTCTATTGATATCTACAAATGTATAATTACAAAAAATAGTTAACAGATTGCATACAAACCTTCCACTAATGTTTTCTTAATACCTGTAATGTTAGTGAAAATTTTATTTACATGGCAAAACGTGATTCAGTCTCTGGACACTGCTGATGAAACTCAATTTAAATGCTTTGAAGGCCATTTCAAAATCACACAGTCAGAAAAAATTGGCTTTGTTCCATTTTTTTAGTATACCTTACTGTAAAACACTTTCGTCATGTGGGCCAGTGATATCTTCACTTGCAAATTTTCTCACTTTTTATCTGTGAATTTTTCCAATATTCTCTAGATAGCATTGGATTTGGAGTGGTTTAGCTGCTTTGTGAGTCAGATGTCACTACAGAAAAATCATTTCTTTCTATATGACTTTAAACAGATATTTTCACTACCTGAGAGCAGAGACATTCTGGTGAGTTTAGAATTACTCCATACATAGGGTAGTCCTGCCACATAATTAGTAAATTCAAGGGCACTATTGCCTTACTCATTAGTACTTCGTTACTTCTTCATAACATTGCCAATTATTATAATAGAAACCTTAATATCAATGGTGATAATAAAAAATTTACATTTAACTTGACATATCCTCACTGTGATTAATCTTGGTGCTACCACAATGGTAAATAATAAAAAATACCAGACTGAGAGATGATTAGGATAAGAAAGAGAAAATAAAGATTTTTTATGTCTCATTAGACAACAGTTTTGCTTTTGTAGTGGATATGGGCAACTTGAATCAAGAACAACTCGTAAACATGATAATTGCTACCTACAATGACGACAGCTGCCTCATGGATTCCAATGATTTTCTTCATGATCTTTAGAATCATGCTGTTTGTTTGAGAGAAAATGCCCTATAAATAAAATAATTATTTGTACACTTGTTTATACAAAAAAACAAGGCATGAAATTTTTATGAAATCTCTTGACTTTATCCTCTGGTTCCCTGCAGACAGGAACATCACTGTCCCTTACTACAGCACTGTGAAGTTGTTTATGTTTTACATTAATAAACAAATTTCACTGCCTGAATGGCATTCAAATCTTAAACAGGTGTATATCTAAATAGTAAAGATGAATGTTCACTATATACTATAACTTCTAAGGGGAGGACAAAACAAGAACAATTTAGCAATAACAGGCATTGCTGAAGTCCATAGTTGACATAGAGGGGAAAAAGAAATGGCTTTGGAAGGCAGAAGAATATGTATACTTTGGGATCTCTTTATCTTGGATAGCTGCAGGCACAGTGGAAGGGCTGAATCAAATAAGCTGATAGAAAAAAACTCTGTGATCAGATACAAAGCAGCTGCACTGCGAGGGTGTCTCTGTGATGTGCCCCAAATCTGAATGTGTTAGTCCCATGACAGCCTCAGAACAGAACATATATGAAATGAAGTAATTATTTCAAATATGTTTGGCAATCCCCAAAAGTGTTCTAATGAAGAGTTTTCTAAAAGATGCATAAACTCCTAAGGAAAAGTTCTTGCCCTTTTTATTTTGTCATTTGTATTGTAGAAGGCTCTCTTTCAATCTCTTTACAAACTGCAATAAAGAACATTTTTAATAAGTAAGTGAGCTGATTGCCCAAAATGTGTGATCCAGGCTTAGAGTTGTAGGTCAGACCAGGAGACTGCCCTGCATTTTGATAAGCCAGTATGAGCACCTGCTGTGCTGTAAAAGGATTTTTTCTTTTTTTCATCAAAAGTTCACCTTAATTTGAAATTCATTGTCTAGAAAAAAATATATATATATATATTTTTTTCCAGCAAAATTGCTGTGTCCCTAATGAAAACTTAATTACTTTGGTAGTTCAAACTTATTCAGTGTTGGAAAGAAATAATCTAAAAAACCTAAGATTGTAGGGCAACACCATCAACTTCAGCTGACATTAATGGGCAGTAAGAAGTAAGTGTAGAAGCTGCTCATTATTGCTTCACACATGCTTGGAGACACAAAGAACATATCCATCTCTCACAGAGAAAAACAGTAAATGCATATGAGCTCTCCAGAATTTTTCCAGCTTAACAATAGAATTAATATGTCTAACATTATTCTTTATTCCTCTTTTAGGTAAGCAGCAAGTCTATGGGGCTCAGTGACACACATCCAAGGGTCCCGAAGTAAATGGCTGATGTAGATATGGGAAAGTACAGGCTGGTGAGCCTCATGTCTGTTCCTGGGAAGATCATGAAGAAGATCCTTGTGGAAGCTATGTTGAGGCACATGAGGGATGAGGAGTTGATTGTGACAAGCATTGCTTCACTAAGGGAAGATCATGCCTGACAAATCTGATGGCCTACGATGGAGTGATGGCATCAGAAAATAGAAGAAGATCATCTACCTGGACTTCTGCAAGTCTTTTAATGTGGTCCCACATCACATTCTTATCTCTAAATTGGAGATACATGGATTTGAAAGGTAGACTATTCAGTACATAAGGAGTTGGTTGAATGGTCACAGGCAGAGGGTTGCCAGAGAGATACTGGACCCCTGTGACTGGTCTGGAAAGGGAGCCATCCAGAGGGAACTGGACAAGCCTGAGAAGTAGGCTCACCCGAACCACATAAGGTTCCACAAGGCTAAGTTGCACTTGGATCAAGACAATCTCAGATATGTCTACAGACTGGGAGAAGAACGCATTGAAAGCAGCTCGGCAGGGAAGGTCTTGGGGATCCTGGTGAATGGAGAGCTTAACGTAAGACAATAGTGTGCACTTGTAGTCTGGAAGGCTAACAGTATCCTGGGCTGCATCAAAAGAGGGGAGGCCAGCAGAGAGAGGGAAGGGATTATCCTCATTTGCTCTGCCCCATCTGGAGTACTGTATATAAGCTTGGGGCCCCCAGTACAAGAAGGAAGCAGAGCAATTATAATGTGTCCAGAGGAGGGTCATGAAGAATTTCTGAGGGCTGGAGCACTGGTGAAGAAAGGTTGAGGGAGCTGGGCTTGTTTTGCTTGGAGAGGAGAAGGCTCCAAGGAGACCTTCCAGTTCTTGAAGGGAGCTTACAAGCAGGAGGGGACTGACTTTTTACATGGTCTGAAAGTGATAGGATAGGGTGAATGTCTTTAAATTAAAAGAGGGGAGATATAAGTTAGAAATTAGGAGGCATTTGTTTGCTCATAGGTGGTGAAGCACTGGAACAGTTTGCCGAGAAGCTATGGATGCTATGTCCCCAGAGGTGTTCAAGGCCATGTTGGATGGGGCCCCGGGCAGCCCTGGGTGGCAACCCTGCCCACAGCAGGGAGTTAGAACTAGGTGGTCTTTAAAGTCCCTTCCGACCAAGCCATTTTATGATACTACAAAAGCAAAGTTTGACTGAAGCCTCCACACCATCAACTCTAATGATGGTAGGCATGCTGGGTTAAGGCCCTACTCTTTCTATAGGTAATACTTTGGTTCTACTAGTAGAATTTCTACGTACTATGAGATTTTAATTATGAATAATTTTCTGGTCTTGTGAAAATGAATTTCAACAGAGAAGTTTACAGTTCTCAAGGAGGAGTACACTAAATCAATCTTCACATGTAAAATAAACATTATATACAGTCTAAATTAATTAGACTTTTACTGTCTATACTTAATTTGTGGCTATGCAGAAATTGTGCTATGCAGAGTACAATTTCAGAATGTATTATCACCAAAGGCATGGAAAAGTATGCAAATATATTTTCTGAATTTTCATGTTATTTATAGGATAGCACATGCAGAACAAGTTGTCTGAATTTCCAAATAACAATTATACTGGTTATTATTTCTCTGCACTGAAATTTCAATAAATTTGTGTAATTGAGCCAAAAATACAAAAAATGCCAACATACAAAAACTAGATTCTGCATCAGTGTTTCAAAATGCATTATATTTTCTTTTAAATCAAAATGACTAAATGAATTTCTTTAATATATATTGTAAAATCATTCCAGTTAGTAGTTGCAGACCATATTTTGGAGTACAGATCTCATACTAAACAGCTGTACTAAGGTAGAAACTTCTTTAAATTCAAACTCATTTTCACCAGGAAACAAATCTACAAATTCACAAAAAAATGATGATAGATTTTATTTAAAACAGTAGAATTATAGATATGGTTTGGAAGTTGTCATGTGCCATAAACCATTCCCTATAGTCCTTTAAAAGCCATTCAGTTTTGCAAGAAAATTGAATTTAATCACATAGATTGACTTTGGAATGCATTTGCGCTTTTTCTGTGCTGTTCTGATATAGCCTAAATTTCTTATGATGGAAGAATAATTCATTCTATTTTATATCTGTAGCTTCAAAACAAATAGAATGTGAACAAATAGGTGAAAGTTCAATATTTTTCATGACTGATAATCTTTTCAAAATCTGGACGTTTCTCTGTTACTAAGAAACCAAGCACTCTACTGCACATAATCTTCTTTTCCTATTATTGCTTGAAAAGGAAATTACTTTTTTATATACATTTATCCAATATCTACTTTACATGCTATGGCACAAATAGATTACCCTCTTCGAGTCCCAGACTGACTCAGTGGAGAACAGTATGTTTGAGAAAGAAATACTCCACATCAGTATAAAAGATAGGGTTACTGATAACTTAAAGAACACTGAAATAAAGCTGAGTTATGTTTTCTTTTCTTTTTCTTACCTTTGTTTTACTGTCAAAACAGGTAAATCCCAGAGCAAAGTCAACTGTGAAACACAGAGTATCCCCTTGCCAACTGCACATATACGTTTTAGACTGGAAAAAAGAGATGAATTTTGAGAGAACAACCATCAACTTCACATATCACATGATAATACTTTATGTGATTTTTTTTTGTGTGCATGAGAAGACAATTAGCTAACAATACTCATACTACTTTACAGTATTTTATATTAAAGTTGCCAAAAACCTCTGACCACATTCATAGCAGGTCTGTGAGCTAGAGAGGAGCTGGAGGTCTTTGTACTGAATCACTCTTCTCAAAATAAAGACTATACTCTTGGGAACCATCATTATGAATTGCTACATAGAAAAAAGTCAGTACTGACTTTCAAAACTTTTTGAGAACTGCTTAGACCTCACGTATGACTTCTCACATCATTTCCAGCGATGTGCAGGTAAAAGTGCCTCAATGTTTAGTGACTGCAATCTAATTGTAACAGTTATCCGACTTCCTTATTTCTTTGTCTGATAGAAAATTTGAAGACAAGCTTTCACCTTGCAACATTTCTTCACGTGTAGACTTGAATGACTGAAAAATGCCAGCTGATTCTCTTAGCATGCATTTTAAGATACCTGGCATCTTTGCTGGATTTTGTAAGTGTAAGGGAATGTGTAATTTAGAAAAGCATGATGAGCATTAAAGTAAATAGTAAAGAGCTACTCAGTAAAAAGTCAGCATGAATAGAGATAGATCAGCTTCTTCCCATCTGACCTTACCATTCATTTTAAATATTACACACATATATATATACACTCTTGAACTTTCTGAAATCTGATTTTTTTTTAATTTTGGTTTTCCAAGGGAGCATTATTTTTCTCCTGTTGATAGTTTTTAATCATGTGTTTGCCTCACCCTTGAACATTTGTTTGCATGAATTTTTGTATCTGTATTATTTCTTCAATGCCAAAAAATGGTATTAATACAAGAATGGTCTGAAGGAGACTGAAAACATTAATACAATTGTTTAAGGTGAAAGTTGTGCGATAGAGTTGTGCTTCAAAAATTTTGTGTATAATCTCTGATGGTTCCCTCCTTCTACTACTTGAAGAAATATTTACAGATTACAGATTTAAATTTTATGTAGGGTTTTGAAGGGGCTGGGAATTAAACTCACATAGTAGTAGAGATTAGTATTATAATCATTTGAACGGTGACAAATATAAATTATTTCCAAGTAAATTACTTTGCTTATTGGTGTTCAAAGCTCATATTATTTGGCACTAAAAAGATTTCAGTAATCAATAATCAATTATAACAGTATTTAAATATTCCCACATATTGTTCAAGAACCATAAGGCAGTTCAAGCACCAGTCTCAGCTTATTCTCCATTATTTTCCAATTAAAGAGGTAAAAAACAAATGGTTTTTGACTCAGCAAAATTAGATTTCCCTAATGAGTAAGCATTCTAATTGCTCAGCCACATATGGCGGTTATTAAAACAAACTATTCATGCATAATTAGCATGGAGATTTTACAAATATTCAATATTTGCAAATATTGGAACTGTTTTAAAAATGATTGGCAGACAAATACTAAAGACAAACAGTCTGTGCTGCATTTTCACTGTGATAACCATTACAAGTAAACGTATCAGGGTTTATATTTACAAAAAAAAAAAAAAAAAAAAAAAAAAAAAAAAAAGAAAAATACTATTTTTTTTTTTTTATTTACAACGGAAGTTGCTTGCATTTTGCCGTACAGGGAAGAGATTGCAGTTGTTAAATTTAAAAGCTTGCCTCTGGCATACACTCAGTGACTTTGAATAGGTTCTCAGAGAGCACTGTTACAAGGATCCTCAACCCTGCTCATTCACACTGACACAGAACACTATGCCTTCTCATTCCAGCCTTTGCAATTAACTTGCCATACATTTGCAATTATTTGATTACCCTTCGTTATTGTTTACATAGAAGTTTAACAATAGAAATCTGGGTTTAGCTGTCTTCCACTGTAATTCTCTAGAAAAAAAAAAACAAAAAGAAAAAAAAGGTAGTACTGCATATTAGCATGCTAGTCAGTGCTTTGCAGGTGTATTCGACAAGAGAACTCATAGTTGAAGCAACAGAGAGGAAAAACTTAGGTTATTTTAAACAACCTTCCTTACCAAATGGAAATGAGATTTTTTCTGGGCTTAGGTCCAATACTGGTTTATCACAGAGCACTTGAATATTATCAATAGAGATAGGTGAGAGGTATCACTTAATGGTACACATTAAAATATTTTTCTATTCATGCACTTATATTCAAATAGCCACATTAATTTTAACAACTGCATTTACACAGCTTGTGTTTAAAAAGTTTCAAAACATTAGCAAACGTGGCATAGAGATGTTCTTTAGCTAGCACTGCTTGAGCAGCTGTAAGAGTTTCCCAGTTATAATCTTGGTGTCTCTGAATATAGTTTGTAGGACGTAGACTGTGAGTTTAATACTGATTTGATTCTTTAGTATGAAGAATTATACCACTAAAAGGAAGGTGTGATGTTTGAACTGTGTCAGATCAGAAAAAGGTAGTATATATTCCAGATCAATCCAAGCAAAAGTGAGTTCTAGAATGATCATTCATACTTTGTAACAAAAAACAATTAAAGTGCTCCTTGTATTTTTTTTTCAGATATCAGCATCACAATGCATATATGTTTATTTCACAAAATGATCATTAATTTCACAAGATGACTGCAAACAGAACACCATTTATGACTCACAGAATTTGTTAGATCTCTTGTGTCTATTCAGAAGCAGAATGAAGGTATATTTTTGGCACTGATATCTGTCCTTCCAGGTCTTGAGAGACTTTAACAGTTGCTATTTGGGTGCACTCGCTATCTTTCCCATAGATGTAGACATTTCCCAGAACTCAGCTTTGATCCATCCTACTTTATTAGCCAGGATTCTGGAGCCTGCCCCTTGATGGTAGGTTCAATTGTAGGTATAATACAGAAGTGATGGATGTCCCAGCTCCTTCTTTGGGCAGTTTTGTGTTAGATTGTGTGAAAGCATCATATCCATATGAAGACAGTATGCACATTTTATATCTATACATTCCTTATAATTAATTTTATAATTAATTTTTAGTTAAAATATACAGTGTGCTTCTTTGTAGAAATAATATATCATCCATAAACTGGGAAAATCTTAACAAAACATGTTCTTTATTTAGAGTAAAAAAAAATATTTACATTCAAATTAGCAACATAATTTTATTAATCTATTTTTTTACATTATAAACATCATTTTTTTTCTGAGACAAGTCATCCTGATTATATGTAAAATAAACATTAAAATTATGAGAATTCACCTTTATCTGGACAGTAAGAGCAATATACATTCCAGATAGTATAAAACAGCCATCATCATGTGCTTCTGATCTTTTTTTATTATAACAATTAACTACCAGTCAATGTATATAGAACCCAATAACAATAATTCATGCTTTTTGCACTGGTTATTTAGCAATGATTCCCAGCTCTGATAGAGTTAATGGCAAAGCTCTAACTCTTCAAGATTTGTCTGTCAATGTTGATAAAATTATAGTGATCAGCCTTATATAGATCAAAATGAAATTAAAAAACAAAACAACAAAAAAACAAAAAACACCTAGAAATACTCTACGCAGTTTTTCCTACTAAAACAGTTGACTTGTTAACAAAGCACATTATTTCATAAAGACTTAAGGAAGTGTGTTGTATGCAGACGAGGATATTGGAATTTTCATTGGCCTATTTTATTGGTCATATTTTATTAGAGATTAACATAATAATTGAATTTAATTGTAAGGAGTTTTCCCAAGAAATCAATAACTAGTCAATGTATTAATATTAGTAAAAGACTCTTTTATTCCCTTTTTTTACTGGTTGAATTTTAATAGCACCCAAATACCAAATAATTTTTTCTCTGTTTAGAAGACACAATATAAATTTATTTCATACTTTCTTCAGTCTTTCTATCAGTGTGGATATGTGTAAAGAGCATAAAATTTGCAATTGTTGTACTGAGAAATAGATCTCAGCCCACATACAGTAAGTACCAGGAGGCTTACAAACCCCTTAATTCTGAAGACAGCCTGCAAAATTGTGAACGGTGTTTTTGTGCAGAATTATCTGTGCTGAACAGAAGTGCTTTTAAAAATCTTTAAAATTCCAAAAAGCTGAGTTTACAATTTATATTACTTGGCTTTCCAGAGTATAAAAACCTCCGATAGTTATTGTACAGAAAAAATATATTATGTATTATCAAAATTAAAAGAAAAAGATATTTATAATGTATATGAATACATTCATGATCTGAATCTGTAAGACATATCAGAAAATGAACTTAAGATGAAATAAAACATCAAAAGCTTGAAAGTTTTCAGAAATTTCATCCAGAACAGATTTTCAAACCTCAGACGTCTTCTTGGTCCACATACCTTTGCAAAGGGATCAATGAAATCATTTCTGTGCGTATGAATGAATGAAATCTTAGCTTAAAAATACATCAAGTTCACTCATCTGGGCATAAGGGATTGATGATGTCACAATTAAAAATTTACAGAACTGCAATAACTATGGATAAATACAATTAAAACCATTTCACTGAAATAGAACAAATCTAAAATATTCTTGTACGTGCCTACAAGATCTGCAGTTAAAATTACAGGAGCAACTGCATCTAATGCCCTGAAATTACTACTTAATCTTTTTTTTTTTTTTTTTTGTTTTTATGGTTTATTGGATATTAGTATAAAAGAGTAGTTTTGAGAAGACGTTACACTTGTGTCTTATTTTTAAGAACAGATACGTACATATTCAGCATATATGTTTCTGTTCAAGAAACTGGTACTAAAAGCAAGATTTTTCTAAGAATTCAGACAATGTCTCTTTTCAGTTTCAATTTAAACTTCTACTGATTTTGGCAGAAGTAGTGCCAGCTCAGTTGTTAGTGCCTTAGAAAATTTCACTTAATGCACTCACAATTTAAATGGTGTCTTTCTCAGGACACTGTGATGCTTGGAACTTCTACGTCTAGGTCAGCCATTACAATAGGGACCACA